GCTATAAAGGAACTACAGCACGGTCACATGACTTCACGTCACCACCGCTAAGCTAAAGGTGGCTAATGTTGGGCTATAAAGGAACTACAGCACGGTCACATGACTTCACGTCACCACCGCTAAGCTAACGGAGGCTAATGTTGGGCTATAAAGGAACTACAGCACGGTCACATGACTTCACGTCACCACCGCTATGCTAAAGGTGGCTAATGTTGGGCTATAAAGGAACTACAGCACGGTCACATGACTTCACGTCACCACCGCTAAGCTAAAGGTGGCTAATGTTGGGCTATAAAGGAACTACAGCACGGTCACATGACTTCACGTCACCACCGCTAAGCTAAAGGTGGCTAGTGTTGGGCTATAAAGGAACTACAGCACGGTCACATGACTTCACGTCACCACCGCTAAGCTAAAGGTGGCTAATTTTGGCTAACTTGGTAGCAACCTCCGTTTTTTGATTCACCAGTGGGGTATTTACTGATGTATTTTATGTCGTAGACCTTATTTCAGGATAACAACCAAAAAGACATTCAGAAAACCATTGAGTTCCAGACCAGAGGACAGGAAGTGATGAAATGCTGACTAATTTCTGGGTTTCTGGAACTTTAATGGGTTTTTTCTTGGTCTCTCTCTCCCTCCCTGTAGTCCAGCACCCGATCTCCCTCCGGTTAAACAGACATTTCACAGAGAACCTTTCACGCACCGATTCCAGAGACGCCGAACAGCTCCGCAAAGAAGTTTCCGATAACGTGAGTGTGTCATTGTTTTTATCAGTGAACATAGGACTGTGTGAAGGATGACTGTGTCACTGAAAACTCTTATCTGCTTTTTTACATCCAGCTCAACGAGGTTTACAAGCAGGTTCCCGGAGTCCAGAAGGTCCAGAAAACCTCGTTCAGGTGAGACGAGTCAAAGGAATACTTCACCAAAATGTCATTATCTGTATTTTAGTTTTTTCTCTGTGTTAATTTGAATAATAATAATAATTTGAATAAAGGATCAAAACTGAGGTGAATTAAAGGATTTGCAGGGTTTAAAAGTCCTGTCTTTATGAAGCAGTGAGCATAAATCTGGATGAATGAGGCTTTCATCTTTCTACATGAAAACCATTCCTTCTGAATTAATTGCAATTTCTTTAAGGTTTTTAAGGGAGGCGAGTAAAAAGAGAATTACTTATAGTGCAGCTCAAGCCTGTTGGAATGTTTTTTGGACTGTAAAAAATTTCAAAATATGGTATTCTTCATATTTTCTAAATGGAAATGTAATTCTCACTTACTTTGGTTCTTACAGGATGCAGAGAAATGCTGGAAAAAGGTCAAATTCAAATTTTTACATAAAATGAAGAGAATATTGAAGTTTCTTCTCGATTTAAGGTCTTGTATTCACGTCTAACGTTTTGTGTTTTCAGGCAGGAGTACGCCATCATGGACACCGTCCTCACCGCTCCTCGCAGCACTTTCCCCGATATCGTCAAACTCACGGAGAAAAACGTGCAGTCTGGAAACGTGAACGACCTCAAAGTCGTGCCGGGATATTACACCGTGGCCACAGACAGAGGCGAGCATTTACTGCATAATATAATATATTTCAGATTATTATTCTAGCTTTAAATTCAGAAGTTCTTAAATCCCGTTCTTTTGTAAAATAAGGAAATACTATGGTCTTAAACACTCCTTTAAAACTATGGATTAAGATGTTGCTTCATTAAAAGTACTGAAGAATTATCCCAAAAATGTACTTAAACGATCAAAAATAGAAAAAAGTCGGTATGCTAATTGGAATTACATTATGGTAGATTAATATTCTGTTTTTATCACCAACAAATAATACAAATAAACACTTGCACGTCATTTTAATATTGCAGTTCGTCAAATGTGAGCCGATTTGAACAAAGAGTATCATCAGAATTGCCTGAATTGATTTACCTTGGTTGGTGATTGGCTTATGGTAAAACATCCCAAAGAAACATTATGACATCACAAAGGGACCGAATTCTATAAATAAATGAATAAAAGTTACAGCGCCGTGTGAGATGTGAATAGTTCAATTGAAAGCAGAGGCAAAAAGGAAAGTCTTCAGGCTGGATTTAAAAGTAGTCAGAGTCGCAGCGGACCTGCAGGTTTCTGGGAGTACTTGAGTAAAGTAAAATAGTAATTAAGTGCAATACTAGCGCAAATGTACTTTGAACTGATTTACTAAATGTCGTATTATCCGCCATTCCTCTGCAGAGGCTGTGGGAGCCGTGGAGTTTCAGGAAGGCGTGGAGTCTATAGACGTCCACGTGCCGCTCTTCGTCAAAGATGAAGACGATGATAAGAAGCAGCTCCTGGTGGAGGCCGTGGACGTCCCGCTGGGCATCGCTGGGATCGGGAAGCGCCTGGTCAACATCACCATCATCAAAGAGCACGGTGACTAAAGACACTAATCATACGTCTGGTTCTTTAGGCTGAATGAGGATATATCAATCTGAAGGGATCTTATGGCTCGGTTCCTTTCCGAGAGCCGTTCAAAAGAGCCGTTTTTTTTAAGTGGCGCTGGAGATTATTTGTTGACCCTGCTTTAAATTATATTTTGGCTTTACAAATGTTGCACTCATGCTTTATCATTGCTTATGTTTTTGCTGAAGTGCATCCAAATGCTGCGTTTTCACATCTCACTCCTCGTGCCTAAACCTAACCAATCAGAGTAGGGGCGGGTCTTCACGGAATACGCTTGGGGAACAAAATCAAGCTTTTTCACTGTTCACGTAAAGGCAAGTGGATTTATGTTAGGCAGTGAACCAACGATAAAAAGAACGGCTCTCCCCAAGTACTGTCAGGATTGGGGAAAAGGTAGGACCCAAATGCAGACTACAAAAAGGTAAAAAAGGTCTATCAACAAAAAGCGAGCTTTATTCAAAAGCCGATGACAAAAAACATGACATGATCACAACGGTAGCACAAGGAAGAAACATACACGAAAAACTGACCGTGACTGACATGGAGGGAGACAGGAAAGACAAACAATGAACCGACAGGGGAACACAGGGAAAGACAAGACCAGGGTTGCGTTCCAATAGTCCATTTAGTTTGGGAACCTTCCTAACCAAGTGAAATGACCCGGAAGTACGTCAGTGGCAGCCATGATAAGTGCCGTTCCAATTCTCTAAATGATAGGAAAGGAGGTTTCAAACTTCCTTTATAACCTCCTTTAGCTTAGGAACCACTGGACCTCCCTAAGATTTTTTAAAGCTGCTTTTTGGACGTACTCGCTTTTCGCCGAACTGCATTGTGGGGAAGCGAAGCGAAGATTTACAGGATTTACAGGACAGACGCACAAAATGACGTCCGCTGGCGCATCATAAACATGTCGGATGGTGAAAGTGCATTCGGATTCTCTAAAGCACCGCAGTCTCTTCCTAAATCCTTCTGAATTCTCCTATCCACTATCCCTTAACCCCGTGAGGTTTCACTCAGAGGTCAAAGAATAGGAGATAGGGTTAGAATTTAGGAGCTGATTTTTGGATTATCGGAACGCAACCTAAATACAGAGAGGGGTAATCACAGGACAAGACACAGCTGGGCAGGGGAGGCAGAAACACAAGGGCAACAGGTGAACACAATCAGACAATCAGACACAGGAGGGCAAACACAGAGACAGGAATCAGCAGACAAGACAGGGGTTGAGCACTTTTCAAAATAAAACAGGAAACCAGAGACAGACAAAACACAACACAGACAGACCGTGACAAGT